CTTTTCAACTTTCATAGCCGAAACGACTCTCCAAAGTTCTCTTTTGACTTGCGAATATGCACGCTGACGAATATTTAAAACTTTAGCCCCAAATCGAACTGCAAATCTACTCCCATTCGAATTATCTTGACCCACCGCCCATCCAACGGCAATTGGACTAGCGTCTACAGTAAGAATCACTGGTCTATTACACTTATAATCAACCTTCTTCAATATTGGAGGTGACATCAATAATTTCTTCAATCTTTGCATTGCCTGAATATGCCTTTCTTTCCATTCAAATCGGTAACCCTTGCATAACAGTTCATATAATGGATCCGCTATGTGAGCAAAATGAGGGATCCAGATTCGATAAAATACACATGCACCCAAAAACCTGTGAACCTCTGTTAAAGAACCACAATCCTCTTTCATCCTTCCTATTGCATTAACTTTAGTCAGATCTGGTTTTCTTTTGTAAGATCCGCATAAATGTATAACAATTACAACCTCTCGCACTCCAAATACGGACTTCATACCCGATAATGTAAGATGAACTTCTCCAAGCCGAGTTAAAATCTTTTCACAATCTTGTATATGATCAACAACATATCTGCGACACCCCCTCGTATCTAAAGTTTCATCCTTGTCTCCTTCTTTGCACCCTTTTATAGGAACATCATCCAGAAAAGGCATAGTCTTTTCCGGAATAAAATCTCTCAATACCTTATTCATCCCATTTTTCATATGCACAACTGAGTTGGTCGCGCCTTGAGGAAGAGTGCACATTCTAACCAATCCAAGCGGTGTCCTCATCGTTGTCATATCTCTACTTCCTTCGGCAAGTTGAAATTGATCATAACCTGAATACAAATCACCCATTGAATAGATCGCCCTTCCAGCAAATGCCTCAGCAAATTCATCCACAATAGGTCCAATTCCTGCATTCCTGACAGTTGCAACATTCACCGGCTGCATATCTTGAATAAACCATAGTGACCCATTCTTCTTAGGTACCGTAAACCATCGACTAGAATACGGCGCAAATGAAGGTTCTAATATTTTCATCTTTATCTTTTCTTTCAATAGTTCGACCAATTTAGGTAAATGTGTCCTCGGTACTGGAATCAGTCTTAGATTCCAAGGTACATGTGATACAGTGAAGATAACCATAGGTGTTATAATATTTGGATCCACACACCCAATTTCATGAGATTCGAAGGCAAACGATCTACCTTGTTTAGCCAACATCTTTTTGAAGCAAGTAATTTCCTCCGGCAATAAAGAACCATCAGAACCAATCTTCAATTCTTCAAAAGTCTCTTTAGTAAACTAATGTCCAATTCTCATTAGATCTCTTAAACTTGCTTCTTCCATTTGTTCTTTAGAATCTTCTAGTAATGGTCCGACAACATGCTTTATGTTCTTATCTACCGTTTTATATCTCATCTGTATAGTGACTTCTGGTGCTTGAAAAGATTCAAGCATGGTATAAACCTCTCTCGAATGAATCTCAACAATCTTATCATTATCCCCTAACCCGATAGATGTAATCAATTCCAATGAATCTTCCAGTCCATTTTCTTCATAAACACCCAAAATCCTCTCATCATCTTGTAATGTACCTATCTTGCGTAACTGTCCTTCAATATCATATAATCTTTTTCTTTCTTTTCTTTTAAAATCATCAACTTTCTTATACATAATATTTCCATTCTCCAATATACCAATAAAACTCGCATCAAAGGCACCTTCATCTCGCGAGAGTACTTCCTCTTTTGTACCTCCATAATCTCGCTTTACAGTGGTACCTCCCCAAAATCCTTAAATCCTTCAACAATCTTTGGCAATGGTTTCTCCCTCAACCTATCTCGATTCCGTTCATGGTTAGGAGGTACTGTTAGAAATTGTACAGCTTTCCTCCCATCTTCGCTCCGTACCCTTGCATAAGCAAAACCATCGTCAAGTACCTTTGTTTCCACCCGTGTTGCCGTGATATAAGGTTGTCCTAAAATCAACGGATAAGACGTTGTATCTTGAACGAAGAAATGTTGCTCCGTCGCAACATCCCCAATCCAAATTTTGACATCTGGATAAGCTCCATATAATTCGCCTCGTGTGTTATTAGCTGCTCGTATTACCCATCCATGTTCCATATCAATTGGCCATTTTTGCTTCTTATAAAGATCTTTAGACATGAGATTTATTTCAGAACCATGGTCCACCAAAGCAACTATTGGTTCTTCTATATCTCCTACCTTCACCAATATCTCAGTAGTTGCCCTTGCCCAATGCTTTCGAGTATAATGGCTCAAAGTTTCCATTTTCTTATCACTAGAATCTTCGAAACGTACTCACTAATTATACCCATTCTTTTCATTTGTTGGTTGCTTGTAACCAATATCAACCTCTTCTTCATCTCTACATATTCTTGCATCAATAGCATGACTCATTCCATTTTCGCTCATTAATTGCCTCTTTCGCTTAATGCTGTCAATGATAACATCATGAAACTCCTTCTTTGCAATTTCCAAGACTTCTTTCAATGTGAATTCCACCTTAGCGGTTAATATACGTTCTTCCAACACCCCTTTCAAATTTGTTGCCACTTCAATATCAGAAAGTAGCTTATAAGCAATTGATTTGCCCTTAACTTTTGTCTCCGTTGTTTTTTCTCCCAATGATGTTGAGGTATCCTTTACAGGCAATTCTTGTGAAGCTGCCTCCCTAGCCTTATCTCCTCGAGTTTGCCTCTTAAAAGAATTTCCTTCTCTAGTATCATCAAAATTTCTTCGTCTTTTTTCTTCCATCAAAGCTTCATGTTGGCTCTTAGCAATATATGCATGAACTGAAAGAGACTCAACAGCATCCTCCTAACCTGTTCTTCCTCGTATTGTAGCTGCAGTTCTCAATATCGCTTCTCGAGGTAATTTCCCTTCTTGCATTGTAGAAACGGCAGAAGCCCAAAACTCACTAGTTTCCGTACTTCCACCAATTTCATCATCTACTCTAGCACCATAACTTGCACTTTCTCGTACTACTGTTTCATTCTCTTTTAAGTAATCTTGAACCAATGCTCTCATTCCTCCCTTGCCAAAATTGGTTTGAAGAAGATCCTCCCTATCTTTCAATGCTATCTTCCCATCTTTTTAGCAAATAATTCCCTGCTGTATCATATTATTAAATTCATTGCAATCTTTTCTAGTGTGTGAAGCATCATCACACCAAATTCATCTTTGTACGTATCTTTGTTTTGAAACATTCTTCGAATTATTTATAGAAGTATTCTCTTCAAGTCTTGCTAATTTGATTTGAAGATCTCGCATTCCTCGTATAATTTCTTCCATACCCATATCTGCTTTCTTTGACAAGGATGTCGAAGGTTGAACTGTAAGCATTGTCGGTGGTGTTGTACGTACTGGAGCTTTGGGTGCTTGTACTGTTTTTGGAATATTGCTCCTATCCTTCCTCCTTTCTTTTTTTGTAAGCAACCCCACCGCATCTTCAACGTTCTTCCACTTCGTTGTCAATCCTTCATCTTCTTCTTTGTCTTCAAGAAGGCGTTCTAATTTCTCTTGCAATTCTCCATCAGCAGCTTGAAGAAATAGATCAACTTTGTTCGGCTCCAATGTCAATTTTTCTACCTTCGATAATTGAGAGTACTGCCTCTCAAATTCCCTTAGTAGCTCTATTGCTTGCAAATTCTTATTGGGCCATTCAATCCATCCCAGAAACAGCTTCTTAGTAACGCGATCAGCATCTTCCAAGAAATATTCGTCTTTCAATGCATGTGAAAAATCCTCCCATGAATTCCCACAACGATCCGTAATCGATGTAATGTGGTCCCTTATCTCCGGTATCGTGGCAAGTCCAAATAGTGCAACCATTTTCTTCTCAGAAACCCGATTTAATTCCATTTCACGAACATAACATCTTAAATACCTTGAAATATTCCTCCCATCAAATTGATCAATTTTATTGACCACTGCTTGCAATGCTTTGGTTGCCAAAGCTTCCTTTCGATCATTGCTTTGCTGTTGCTGCATTGACAATGAGAAGGCTTGAAACAAACTAGCAATAGACGGATCCATGTGCATACCTTGTCCTTTAGAAGACTCCCCACCAGAAACTTCTCCCAAAAATCCTTCAAAATTTTTATTCTCGTTTTCCATAAAAATAAAGATAAAATCAACCGAAATCCAATACCTTTCATCTCAAGCTTTCACGTCGGGTTCACCACTTATGTCGTATTACGTGCTTTCCTGCTCGAGAACGCGCCGGGCGTCTGGCTGTAGAAGGTAGTATGGAGATCCGCCGATAGTCAAGCAGTCTATCAGTTTTTACTACTGGAATATAAACGACTGTAAGAATATACCGTAAATCTTTACTGATGCCCTTCGACTGCTTGTCGAAGTCCTTTTTTTGCCCCAGTCGGTAGGTCTCTAGACGTTACAGAGAACCCCGAATAACCCAAACTGTTAATCTTCAATACCCCTCTGTACTTACGATCTTGTATCCACTGACTGTCCTGTTAGATTAATCCAATAAATTTCATTCACTCCGCATACTCAATCCTATAGACACCCCTTTAATCCTTCAATCACAGACGTAACTCGATTTTACAAAACAGTCAAGAGTATTCAAACCCACTTCATTTAAAAATCCCGATTCACCATTACAACACTGACTTCAGCAGCGATTGCCTCAGTCTTCCCAAAACTCTACGAAGAAGAAAAATCCAAATTCTATGTCTTTCCTTCCCCGACCCGAAGCATGAAGCTCCTCTCTCTAATTCCCTTGATCTTCCAAAAACCTCCAATGAAAACCCGAACTGGTAACCTTGTAAAAGCTTGAAAACTCGCTCCCCCCCCGATTCCCCCGAAAAAGAACCTTCCCCCTCAAAACAATATCCCCC